ACAAAATATATTATTATTGTTTATTTAATTATCTTAATTGTTAGATCGCTCTGATTACAGTTAGTTATTGTCACTGACACAAATTCCGTTTTACATTCTGTTGCTGATTTCAAACTGAGAACAGAGGGCATATTTTTAAACAAAGGGTTATGGGAGATTAGAACAAGCTTCTGAGTTAGGCTTTTGAAGGCAATGCCCTACCTTCTTTCAAGAAATCCTCAGAAAAAATAGCAACTAGCAGCTAGATACAGTACATCGTCTTGCTTGTTACAATTTGTATTTTCTTACGTTATATATATGATTTTAGAATGACATTAAAAAAAGAGAATTCATATTTTATTGGGTTAAACTAGTTATATCTTAACTTGAGATTCAATGGATAGTTTCATTTTTAAGACTGAAGAAATTGACTTAGAGTCTAGCAGCAGGGGTAAATTACAGCAACTAGGAAAAAAGACAAGGTTGTTATTTACACAATCATAAATCAGCCATTTTCAAGGTAATGCTCTTTTGTGGTAGACTGCATAACAGTAACTCAAAATGATGAGTATTGAACTTGAATAATTGAATAAATCAACCTCAGTTAATCTGTTGCCATTTAACTGTGTGGTTTATAAAGTATTTTTATAGTATGAGACCAAGAGGAAGCTGTTCATATAAGTAACCCCTTCATTTTTAAGCTTGTGTTGGTGAATGAAATGAGTTACAGTATACACCAGCTAAATTCAAATGTTGAAATAAAGGCATACCCTATCAACATTTCTGCAACAGAACATCCATTTGGATAGATCAGCTCCAGACAGGAACTAACCCATACTCCAGGTCTATGAAAATGTAAGTCTTTGTACCAGCACTGCCGTCCAAATTACACTTCAATCTCAAATGGTAAATATCTTTAAAAAAAAGCTTGTTCTCGCCTATTATTCAGCTTTTACTTTCCTGTCTCCTCTCGCTTTAATCCTTACCTCTCTGCTTCGTGGTTTCTAATTGAATATGGGAACTATAGAAAATACTGAAATAATTCAGTGTCTATCTATTGACATAAAGTAAGTATTGTATGTTGAATTTTGTTAGTCACACGTTAAAAGCATGAAAATCCACTCCAAATCAATTCCATGTTGTGAATTAATATACCATGTATATACTGAAGCAAAGCTTCTTTAATCTATAGACAAATTGATGCCTTGTATGGATTTAAAAAAATTGTTTGACATCCTTTTAATTTTTAACAGTTAGACTGTGATAAATAGGACATACTATTCCCATTTCTACTTGTAATCATACAGCTCTCCTAATTTATAGATCACATTTTTATTTTCTTCATAACATTAATATTAATTTCAGATACCAGTAATTATAACCTTTAATCAAAATCTAGCTAGAAATCACTCCAACAGCTTTCACACCGATTGATCAACAATGCTGAGAGCAGTGATACAGAATGATTCCATTACAGCTCTGCTGTAAAAGCAGCAACCTAATTAAATTAAACAGCCAGCTCTGGCGTTTTGACAGCAACATTGATATCTCCAGTCTGAAATGCGCTTAGGTGCCTTTATTAACAAATGACTATTTTTCTTTAAAACCTGTTCTGTCTTTGTTAAGCCATGATTGTCCACAAATAATACTGCATTTAGTATTAAAATAATACAGTATACACGAGTATTGTGACATTGTTCCAAACCACAGTTTCCTTAATTATTTGTAGCTTACTACTTATACTGTAAATCTAAATTATAGAAGATAAATTATTTGGCCTTCAGTAAGTTTTTTTAAAGGCTTAGAATTTTAATGATGTTATAGGTGTGGGAATTCTACAGTGATACTCTCGAACACCAATAATTAGCTTCATACTGCTTTATATCCCCAAACTCTGTTCAGGAAAAGCACAGTGAGAATATATTTTAACTATTTATTCTCCCTTTGGCACTATTAAAGATTTAAAATGAGTATTTGAATTGTTCAGCTCCCACACTGAGACTAAGACTGAGGCCTGAATATCAATTATTTCTTTCGCTCTTAGCAGTGTTAAGTGGAGGTATTGACAAGATTGTCATACCAACACGGAATGCAGCTGAGCTGGCTTTTAGGATACTACTTACTTTATTTACATTTTTAATTTGTTTTAACTCAATAGTTTATTCTTATTTTATATTATTATGTTGTTTTTATGTATTATTCAAAGTATTCAAAGGAAATTATCTACTTAAATTAAATCTTAAATTGTGTATTTGATGAAAGTGTCATCAAAATCTATTCTTATCTATGCATTTTGGTTAAACGCTACATGCAGTAATTGCAGCCTGGTGTCCAGTAGTAACTATACTCGTCTAGAACAGAAGCTGTGTCTGTGCGTGCTAGCTGCAAAGGAACAAGTAAAGGATAATTCCATGCATACTGTATATCACCTGAAGAAAGCTGATCAGTTGTGTTTTAATTTCACTCTATTTTTCTATGTGGAATAATCTTCATCTACCACAACTGACCATGCCTTTTGCACTGGAAAAGCAATTTGATCTTAAATCTAATTTGTATTATTTTAATTCATTGTTAAAATGATATAATGATATACTGAATCAGCACAACAGATTTTTAAAACTATATAAATAGAAATAGTTACATATTATAAAGCCTGTTACAAGCCTGTTATATGTTTGTACAACATACTCTGTTGAAAATATACATGCAAATAAACCTTTTTAAAATGATAATACATTCATAGTATATGTTTTGTATCCGAGTATCATTGTTTATCAATTATGCGTAACAAAATGCATTGAAATAAGATATTTTGGAATTATTATGTTTCTGATATATTACAACATTAAAATTATTTTAATAAATTAAATTGCACCTATTAAAAATTAAATGTATTTTCTGTCATGTATTCCAGGACATTATTGCATCTGAAATTCACACTATATTTTTCAAAAGCTTAGTAAATGTTTAAACATTACAAAATCCCTTTTATATGGGGGTTAATATGGTGGAGCATCATCTGTTCCAGAGTGATAGACACATGATAGGTCTTAATGCAAAAAATCCCTGTATGGTTCACAAAAAGAATCGGTCGTAATTGATGAACACTTTCATAACCACAACTGATCTGTCTCATTAGGTCCTCCTGAGTGCTTTAATGGGTCTTTAAATCCACTGAACTATTAAACAGAAAACGTGTAATGATAGTTTATCACTTTTTTAAAGATCGTCTTAATGTTTATACAAACTGGCACTATACCTCTAGAAAAATTGAGCTCACAAGTTATTTTTTATAAATAGGTGAGTGTAAATCAAATAAGTACTGTAAGGTCAATTTAAAATAAAAAGTGGGTCCTTGCACCAGCTTGCCTAGCAAGGAAATGTAAGCATTTTGATTTGTTCTTATTCTTGTAGGTTTTCTTAGCTTAGTGCAGCATCTGGCAACAATGTACATACACAAACTTATTTATGAAAACTAACAGACAAAAGCACAAAATACAAGGATTACTAGTTACAAATATTTACAATACAAACGAGTACCTGGGAGTTGATTTTATCTGCCAGGTGTTTACCCAGTTTTGAATTTTATTTAAATCCTTTTTTAATTTATTTTCCTTCTTCTACAGTGTATGATAATCCTCACTAAATTCATATCACTTGCAAATGTGAGTTGTTTACTAATTATACTTACAGTATATTATACTAATCTAGATCATTGATAGAATTAAGAACAGCAAGAGTCCTAGTCCTTCATGCTTCACTAATAACCTAATAGCCAGCAGCCACATCACTCTGCAACTCACAACTGGCAGCCCACTGAAGCTCAGCAGGTGTGAGCCTGGTCAGTACCTGGATGGGGAGCCTCCTGGGAAAAACTAAGGTTGCAACAGATTAATATTTGTTGTTCACCTTTGCCTGGTGTGGGTAGAATTCCTCAGCATATACCTGATTTAGTCCTGCTCTTCAGTTTCGTTCATGTTGTCTCAATTTGTCTCAAAAGGTGGCACAGTGGTTAGCATTGCTGTCTTACAGTGCTGGGACTCTGTTCACTTCCTGGGGTGCCATTTGTATGGTCTCCCTGTGTTTGTGGTTTTCCTCTGGATGATCGGGTTTCCTCCCACAGTCCAAAGACTGGTAGGTTCATTAGTGTCTATAAAAGTGTCTGTATGTATCCTACATTGGACTGACATCCTGTTGAGTGGGTATCATGCCTTGGGCCTGTTGCTTACCTCCTGCAACACTGACTTGGGAACTATTCTAGAGCCCATTAAATATCTTTTGCTTGATGGATTCAAGATAATATTTCCACAAACATCACAACAGAACTCCCTTTTTCTAAAATTTAACACAAGTCTCTTCAGATCTCAATTACGTGATACGTTTTTTGTTTTTCATCAGGAAGGTCCAGATTGCTGGAAGCCTGGCCTGTAGAACGTGACACCCAGTCACACGATGATTGCAAGAAATAGAGTAACTCTGATATAAACTGATCTCGTAGACAAGACATTCACCTCGTGGCATGCAATTTCTGTACTTCTGTACACTGGGGCATCATTTACACTGGTCTCCACCCACCTATTTGTACACCTTCCACTCAAAGAAGGACTTAAGTATGTAGCCTACTGAGGTATCACCCCCACTTTTCCTGTCCAGGCATGACTAAAAACTGATGTGGAATTGAGGTGAACAAAAAACAGACTGTTCAGTGGTTGGATACTATATACTATATACTATATACTATATACTATATACTATATACTATATACTATATACTATATACTATATACTGCAGGTATCCTTAACATCCCTTTGGCACATAACAATAGCCAATAACAATTCTGAACATTATTATCTCTTTAGTAGAATGCCCCATTTTTAAACAGTGGAAATGTGCAAAACAGTACAGAAGCTGAAATGGGTAGAGGAGTTGAAGTTCCTATTTTATCTGATCTTACTTCTATGAGAATATTTTGTTATGCATGTTCATTATTCTGCAGTCAATGTTAAGAAAGTGTGCTTACTTTGAGAGGGCAAGGCCATGTTTTGCTAATTCTTCATTCAGATCACGCAGAAATATCCCAGCTTCCACTGTGACCTGTCTCTTCTCTTCATCGACCTGAAAGTGAAACAAAGCATCTTTATTCACATATAAATGTGAATATATATTTAATGGTTAAAGATGTAGCAACAAGCCAAGGTGGCTTAAGTGGAAAAAGTACAGTTTTCAGGCACTGTTTCCAAAAATTAAACAGAAAACTAAACGGAATAAATTAAATGCAGCAAGAACAATACCAAAAACACAGAAAGCCTGCTTATTTCATTTTTGACACACCATGCGACTAACAAAATTAAAATTAAAATAAAATGCCCCTCAGAAGATAAAATAAGACAAACATCTTTAGCAGGTCCATTTCCTTGAGGTCTATCAACTGGCAATTTTTGCAAGGGTCTCACCCTCAATCAACTGATGGATTGGGTGTTTGGTGAGCAGGGAACAGACTGCTGAAAATTACTGTGTTCCCACTGCAATTTGGTTAGTACCCCTTTCTTTCTGAAGCTGTAGTGACAGACCTGTAAAATGCTGCAATGTGTGTTTGATTGTGCTCTATGTAGATCATGTTTTTGTCTAACTTCTTTAACCAAGGTTTAGAGACACTTGAGATGCTAGTTCATACTGCAGGGATGGGTTACTGTAGGTAACATCAGTGTGTTTACTGAGGCTAAAATATGCTGTGTTTTCAATTTAAGATAGAAATAAAATAGAAAGAAGACTGATCTCTGTGGATTTGTTTATTCTATATTTAGAGAAGAATAAAGAAGGGCCACATTTGTAAGATGAAAGTCGAAACATGCCAAATTGTTGCTGTATCATGGTCTCTGGTTCAAATCTCTGCAGTGAATGAAATTCATTCACTTTCAGATCTATTGTAGACAATGGAGTATCCAATAAACACTTCTCCTTTAGATTCTTGGTTGAGACCGGTGATTGAGATTTCTGGTCAGTGATGGAGGTGTCTTGCATTCAGTTCCTACATCTTATTTTAAATCGTGGAGCAGGGCAGTTAAATTGGTGAAGTGATGCTAGGTGGTATTCTTTGATTTTATTGGTGAAAACAGTATTTCATCTAATCAGCTGGTACCAACTTCTCTGTCCTTTTTTTCTCCATATTGGTTGACAGTCTCTGCACACCTTCCTGAATGCTGGTTTTTCATGCTTTCAGTATAAATCTTTAACTTTAAAATCTGATGGCAGAAAAATTGGCTATTTTGAATGCTGAACCAAAAAGTGTCTTTCAAAGAAGATACAGTAATATGCACCTGAACTCACTTTCCATGCATGTTTGAAGTAAGAAACTGACTGCAATATTACCCTACAGTTCGGAACCATCTTGCATAAAAATAACTGACATGGTAACTAGAAAAATGTGATTTCATGAGCTTTTACTGAGGAGCAATGTCCATTTTGCCTTTTTAAAAAAGCACCACATAGCAAGGTACACATTCTCCCCAACAGACTTCAGCTACCCTAGAACAAAAGAAACGTCTTAAGAATAGAAATGTTTTTTGCACTCTTGTCAGAAATACATATAGTAAACTTCCTCCTTTACTTAAAGTTCTGAATTATATATCCTTTTGTTCTACATTCTCTGGAAAAGGAGTTCCTAAATCCTGGTCTAGGAGAATCAAACACAGTTGCTAGTTTTCACTCCAGCCAAGCTCTCAGTTACACAACTGAAACATAAATTAATTTAATCATAGAATGGAGCTGAAATTTTTTAATTTAATTCTTTAATATGTAGGAAGTTGTCTTTCAACTATTGTGTTTTATATGCAACGCAAGAGTTTGACATTTAAAGTTGAAAAAAAAATGAAAATGGTCTAATCAATAAACCTTTAATTAAGGCTACAGTCAAGCAATTAACCCCAACTAATCATCTTGACTGGACCACATTAACCACTTCTGATGGTGGTGCTTTAGAGAGACCTAGATACCATGCTGACACTCCACATTTCCAGGATTGAACTCCCCGTATTCTAAAGATTTCAAATTGTATCTCTTTAATAAAGACAATCATTCCTCTATTTGAATGGAATCATTTTAATTAAAAAAGTGACTTATGTAACAGTCACCATGCTGACACTATGATATATACAATAAATTCTTACTGGTAAAAGTAATTGAACTAGCAAGGGACATTTTCAACAACCGTTCGGTTGTTGGTTTTAGAAGATTGAAACAGACTACCTGCTCTGTCCAGATTAATCTTTTAATTTCAGTCCTGTTACTTGTAAATGTCTGTTCACTATATGTGATAGGTGCAGCTTTGTTACAAATGTAAACATAAAAAGGAGTTAGTAAATGTTTTCAGCATTACAACATTATAACAATAACAAACATGAAGCAAAGTGTCTAAGAGAAAAAAAGTAAACTTTTAGATGAAGAGGAAATGGCTTAGGCCTCTAGTGAATATTTTTACCCACCAAGGAAGGAACTGACAACATGCCTCAGGCTGGGAAAACACAGAGTCCTATATTATATGACAGCAGAAAAGAAACAGAGGTATTGCAGGTACTGGAAGCCCTTACAGTAAGACAAATAAATCTCCAGACCCTGTACTCTACAAATTGTACACAAGGAAACAAGAGTTGTTAATCATACTGTTGGCCATTAACAAAACTTTTCCAGCTTTCTCCTAGACAGGGGTAATACCCAGTGACTGGAAATTTGCTAATGCACTGCCCATCCATAAGAAAGGCTGAAGAAACGGACCCATGTAATGTCTGTATGTATCAGTGATCAGTGTAAAAAAAGAACCTTGAGTGCTTAAAGATCATAGCCCGTTAAAGATTTAGTAAGTTTTCTGATGAAAAAGGACTTATTAGATGGGATTATGTTGGGTGTGTTTTTGAATCTGCCTCTCTTGCTAATTTTGACTAAATGATAGTTTTAGAAATATTAGTTTGCAGATATTCAGTCACTCTTTGTTTGAAAAGAATCTGCCTCCATGGGGCTTCTTTTCTAATCCAATACGTGTAATATAAAATTATTCTTACTGTACCTCAAGAACCTTATTCATCTTATCCATACGCATCATGAAGTCATCTGTGCAGGCGATGTCTGAGGGAGAGTGCCCCCCACCCACCACCTTCACTCTCTTGCTGCAACGCCTAGCGAGTTCCAGGATCTGTCAAAAAGAAGAACAGCCTTACAGCATCTCCCAAGGCTGTGACATATTCTGAAAAGCAAGGAGAGTCCTGGGAAATTTGTATTGATCCATAAGCACTAACATTGTATTGCAGGAGATGATCAATTTCATCACTTGAATCATGAAATAATCCTCAAAGTCTGAAGTAATTACTCCTCATGTTGCAAGCATGCAGGCATTCTGTGAGCAGCCTTAATGTTTTAAGCTATCTACAAAGCTTTAATATCAAAAAGGGGTGAATGTACATTACAGAGTTGTGTCATATAATCATTGGAGACATTCTGAATTCATGTAAGCGCTGGGTACAGTATAGTCAGCAAACTAGTGAAGTTCAGAAGTGATAGTGTTCCAACTGAAGAGCGCACAATTAGCAAACACGGACACAGGAACACAAAACCATATGTTGTCATGTAATTTGCCAAACCGCTTTATAGCATACGGTGTCGCAGGAAGCCAGAACCTACCTGGCAAGCAATGAGCACAAGGCAGGGTACACCCTGGATGGGACGCCAGTCCATCACAGAGCAAGTACAAGCCAATCACACTGTACATGGGGACAATTTGGAGGCCACAGTAAAAGCCAAGCGGAGAAATTTGGCCTGGACACCGGGATAACTCCCTACTCTTATCAAGAAATGCCCAGGAAACTTTAATGACCACCGAGAGTCAGGACCCCGATTTAACGTCTCATCCGAAAGATGGATCATATATTGTGAACATGATTAATAAAGATAAATATACTGTCAATTTTTTATTACTTAGTGAATTAAATGTGTCCTTTATTGTTGTTATTGGCTTTAAAAGTTGGTGTTGGAGTTTATGACATAGACAAATTTGTTTACTCATGATTTTAGACCATGGCTTCTGCATTACGACTATAGTGCACTTGAACTGAACTTGAACTTTATTGCTGTATGTAACTGATACATGTACTGATACAATGGAATTCTTACTTACAGAAAATCTCTCAACTGTTAAAAAAAAGTGTAAAACACAAAGTGCAGACAGTACATCGATATACGGTATACAAACAAACAGTAGACAATGTTCAAGTAAACAGTTTGAATGTAAACAATGCCGACATATAAACAACAACTGCAGATATGCAATAAATAAAATTATAATGAGGTAGATGGTGTAGGTGTGGTCCAAGGGGCATGGCCAAATGTGTTCACCTATCACACTGCTTGTGGGTAGAAGCTATTGAATCTGGTGGTAAGTGTCCATATCTCTTGCCCGAGGGCAGTGGGGTGAAGAGCTCATGCCCGGTGGTGACTGTCCTCTGTGATGGCCAGAATTCTACCATGGCAGCAGTCCTTATAGAGTTGTTTAACCTCTATGAGACCACAGCCAATGATCTTCTGAGCCACATTCACCATTCTCTGCAGTACCTTTCTCTCTTGAAAAGAGGTGTTGCCGTACCACATGGTAATCCCGTTGGTGAATGTCGTTGTTAAACCACTGTCTCTTATTGGGAATTGTCCAAATTTTCTTTTCTGGCACACAATTGTCGGTGCAATATTTAATATAGCTGGTTGCGTCTGTACACTCATTTAAATCTGTTTCGGGAGCTCTGAATGCGTCCCATTCAGTGACTAAATTGATTTTAGATAAACCATGGTTTTTGCTTGTTAAGTACAGCAACTACAGACAACACAATATTGAAATGTGGTGCTATGTGGTCATTTCAATTACGGTCATAATGGCATTTAATATAGTAACTTCATTTACTTTCAATAAACCATAGTTAATCCTATGATTACCCAGTTGAAATGTGTGACACACTATGGACACAAACTACAAGCAAACGTTTATGGGAGGATGGAAAAGCTAGCCAGGCACATTTTTAAAGCCAGCCCTTTTTTCAAGAAATGGGTGGTAGAGACCTTGGTCCAATTAGCTATTAAACATCAAATGGTAGTTTGGGCTAGATGGCCTTATTATCTTGTTTTTTATTCTTATTACAGTTTTTTATTCCTACGTTTCTTTTCAGTTGATTTTTGAACTTAAAAACTAACAACTTACAAGCATAACTACGTAAGTGTAGTAAATTAAGCTCTACAATAGAACATCATGGTGTTCTATTGTATTTATTTTAAAGGTTATTTCTTACACATTTCAGCTGCAGAAAATATTTATCTCAATTAATATTCTTCATGCAACGAGATTTCAGACTTGGTCACTTATGCCCAATGAAGATTAGTAAGATTCATTAAAGAAACTCTAAATCTTGTTAGAGCTTGATGAGTATTATTAACCTTGCAACACATGAAAGACTTTCAGGTAAATACATCTGATGGATCAAAGGTGCATTAAGAAGTTTTAAAGAAGAATAAAATTAAATTAGCTTTCCCATGCATGGGAAGAAATAGTTTAGAGAGACATTTAGAGAGCCAAACTTAAACATACAGTGTGAAACTTTACTCATTTAAAGTCAGAAAATCCCTTGAAAGTATGCATATCTTGAGCCAAAGAAGGAACATAGATAATTAAATTGCTTGAATTATTTGAGCATTTATAGTCTATTGAAAGACTTCTATTACAAGAGAATCACCCCTCTCTCTTTTAATTTTATCTACATATTTTAATGCTTTTAGCAAATCTTTTTTTCTATTTAACCTTAATCCTTGATTTTGTAAGATGGCCATTCTTTTATTGAAGTCGGTGGATTTGAATAGGCAGCTCATGAAATGGAGATGGAATCTATGACTTTCCAGATTGGCTGAGAATGTTCTAAGTGACAGTTATCATTCTATAGGATTATAAACTGGGCACTGTTACATGCTGCTTTGAAGAATGCTTCTTTTATAGTGCTTGCTTTCTTCAAGTATTATCTGAAGACTACTGCATGATGTCACAAAGGTATTTCTGGTCAGATCTTTGCACTCTCCATAGATCAGTGCAACTTTGGAAACTTTCTGTGGGGATGACCTTGCAATTTATTTACTTTACTATTGTTATTTTTATTTTTTATTTTTTACTAATACAGTGCTAATATTTCAAAGCATTTGTATTGCTTATGGCAAAACCTTTAATGAATTCAGAGAGAAAGTATTTGCCATGGTTAGAGACAAATGCAGCGTTTCCATGATAAAAAAAAAGAGAAAAACATTAGCCTCAAAGTGCCCCCGAACAATAACACATTCAGACTTCTACATACCTGTCTGACATCTTCCACAGAGCTGGGCTGGAAGTACTGCTCAGGGTGGCAACTGTATGTCTGAGCCCAGTTCTGGAAATGATATCCTTCAGTTCCCTGTATCTGGAGGGAAGAGGAAATGAAAAGGTGAGCTGTGTATGGTTATTCAAGTTTGACCAAAAGTGATAGAATATTATTTATAGCAGTGCGATTTAATCTGTTTGCTGAAAAAAAATAAAGCTGAATAGAAAAAAGGATAAACATTCTACTGAAATTGTCTATTTTTATTGAGTGAAAAACATTATATATTTTATATTTGCATATTATAATGGCAAGAGAGCAGTCTTAATTTCTTCTTTTTTGTTTTATCTTTGTTTGTACACTATGTGAATATAAGAACACTTAAAATGGAGATCAACACTGGAGATCAATAACACTGGAGATCAACAGATTAACAGTAGTTTTTGTGAAACAGTCATTTTAATATTTCATGATGCCAGATTAGAAAATGGATGGATATTTCGTGATGTATTCATTTGAAATCCACATGACTTTTTTTACATTTTGACATTATTAATTTCTAAAGGTTTTCCTTAAATAAATATTCCATGCTAAAATGTTATATATGAGACCAAAATAAATGTATTAGAAATACAAAAAGCACACTGGTTATTTATTAGATATTTCACAGGAAGCCATTAAGATTCCATAGTTATTACTGAATACAACAGAGTGCATTCTGTACTGGGTTGGATGTAATCTACAACGACATTTTGCAGAACTATTTTTAATAAGTGAGAGATGTTCAATTTACAAAAAAGCAGGATAGGATAGAAATGTATTAATCCCATTGCCAACTACTGTATTTATTTGTTGCCTTTAAACTATGGAGATGCATTTATACAGTACATGAGCAAGACAGATGGAAAAATGTTGAAAAGAAATAAAACACATTTCATTTATGGATAAAAAATGTAGAGACCCCACATGTGAGTATTGTGTGATATAATAATCATCACCTGGTACTATAGGTCCAAAGATGGAGCAGCCAAGGAGCCACTCTACATGTTTTGTCTTCTGCAAATGTTTTTTTACAATTTTACAGTAAGTAGATATAGCTTTGGCTTTATATCATCTGGATATGCACGACAGTATGTCTGTCACCGTGTACCATTAACACAAACAGCATGCTGAAACAGCAAACCATACTAGTAGGTGCGTATGTTTTTTTGTGCACAAGATTACGTAAAAGTCTTCCCCTCAAGATATGACATAGTAGAACTTTGCTATTATACTATTATGTGTAAATACTGTAATACAAAATCACAACAAAAACTTACATGGATCTGCCAATAGGTATTGGACTGTTACTGAAAATCTGTATTGTATAAAGTATAATGTAATCTGGTATTATAATTAATTAATAAAACTTCTGTATTACTGCATCAAAAATTAATTAGTTGTGATACAGTACTATCAATGGGAATGCATTTTGGTAAAGCATCATACAAAACAAGGTTCCAGATACAACTCGTAATTTATTCTTGCTCTAAATTTCAATTGAGTGTTACATACAGTACCAACAATCTGTCTTTGTTTTTGTGCCAGCTGTTCTGCAAGACAATATTAATTTAGCCTGCACTTAGACAAACGGTCTGCGTCAGCACTTCTCTGCCCTCAGTCAAGTTACTCAGAAAGTTACTCATTCAACTAGAATAAAGTATGAAGTATGCCATCAGCCGCCTATTTATGTATTTAAGAATACATTTGACTAAAATTATTTCTGCTATGTCTTTTGGAATTAAGGCAGTGTTCAATAAACACGTAATTAAGTTCCTACTGAAACTAGCTCCAATTATACTCAAATTGCCGCAGTATATTATAATGTACCAGAAGTGTGCTGTCCCAGAAGCCTAAGTACCTGATCTCTAGCCTGCCAATTTTAGCAGACTCATTTCTCTTTTTTCACTTTGTTATAAATAGGGGACCCCTTTCCCTCTCTCTGGCATTCTTACGCCAAACCCTAGCTGGGCAGTTGGCTCTGTACCCCCTTCCCTGTTTTGCTACGTTCCCCTCCCTGCCTGAGCATGTAAAAACATTTTTTTACAAAGTATAAGTGAGACCCAATCCTGATTCTGGGAGACCACTGTATCTGCTGCGGATTTTCATTTCACCTGATTTCTTCATTACTGATGTTAATTGATGCCTTTAAATTAATTAAAGTTTAACTGGTCTGATTTGTCTAGACTTTTTATCTGTTTCTGAACTGCAACAACTTCAGCATACAGAACATTAAGCGGTCTCTCTCCATCATGCTTATTAAGTGCACACTTCCCTATTTCTGACTAAAAAGCTCCTAATAATTGATTATTGTTTAATGAGCAGATACAGGTGAGAATGGCAATGTATCAAGCACTCCCGCAATAAATGTTTTTCATTTCATTCTGCAACTGATTGAACTTGAATTTGTAGATCTTAGATACTGCAATGCAGGGTTTTTATTAGGGTTGTTATTAATTACCAATCACATTCAGTTTCTGAGGAGCAAAAATTACGATACAGAAGTCACCAGGGACTCTTTTCAACATGATGTACATACAGAATATAGGAGGGAGGTAAAGAGAGCAGATAACTTGTCGTTATTCTAATTTGTGACTTCCTTGTACATTCAGTTTTGCCTTTTCTGTCTGTTCTTTTTGGCTTTAGTGTAGCACAGGCTAAGAATCCAGGTCTGAAAGAAACTTACTTCCTTACCCCAGCTCCAAAAAATAAGCTGGGGCTAGTCTGAGGCAGGCGGCCATATTAGATTTTCTTCATTTTCATTTCCCATGGCTCTTCCCATGTTTCAGCATATGTCAAAGGAAAATATCAACTGTAGAATTAGTTACTGTTCTAAAAATATTTAGTTGGTCCTTCCATCCATTTTCTGACCACTTTATCCAACACAGAGTCACAGTTGAACTGGAACCTATCCCAGCAAGCAATGGGCAAAAGGTAGGATACACCCTGGACTGGTCGCCAGTCCATGGCAGGGCAGACACAAACATAAACGTGCTCACATTCACAACAGAGCCTACTTTCCCAGAAGTCAATTAATCTACTAGTAGGTCTTTGGAATGTGGGAGGAAACCCATGTCAATACGGGGAGAGCATACAAACTCCATGCAGATAGTACCCCAGATCAGGAATTGAAAGCAGGGCCCCACCGGTGTCGGGCAGTAACATTGAGCACTTCACCACTGTGCTGCCCATATTTTAGTTCATGTTTGTATTAATTAATATCTATGCTGTAACAAGACCTGATGTTAAAAGCAAATTATTTGTCCAGTAACAAATGACTTACAATTGTTTACATGAAATACATACTGTACATTAACTCATGTGTTTTTAGGCATCTTTTTGTTGTATCTATGAGAAACTGAGTTACCAACTAATGGAATTTTTCCCAAACAGAAGCTGACTATCGTATACTGTAGTATTCCATAAAATCTATTTAACAATGGTCAATTAAATTAACTGTGTATTATTACTGCAACCTAACATGTTATAAAAGCAAATTGCCTTCACAGAAAGTAAAATTATTAGATGAGTATGTTGCAAAATATATTTTACATTCTGTAGTTCAGTTAGAGGGCATTCAATCATTTTTGTTTATAAAAATAAAATCTTGTGCTTCAGACACAACATAACTCGTGCACCTTAGAAAAATTATATTTCCTTTTCACTTTGTGGCTGTCTGCAACCAAAATAAACATCTGATCTGAACTCAAAATTGAGTAATAAAAAAATCGATACCCTTGATATTACTGTGACTTTGGGTTAGAGTCACATGAATATGCATGAACACTGATTCAATTTCAGAAAAATAAACTAATTCAAGTGCTTTAGATTTTTTTAAACACAATTTTCTGCCAAGCAGAATATAAATATTAACTGTGAAAAGCTCCAGGGTAGAAAAATAGGCTAAGTGACATTGCTTCATTTTCTTTATCTTCCAAATTATTTTCAAATAAACTCCAATACAGTAACCAGTGAATTACTTTGTTTACAATTCTGTGCTATCTTACAGTTTTTAGAAACAAAAATGAAAAGAAATCTGTTTATGCTGTAAAGTTAAGAAAAAATGTTTTACAGTTCAGTTTTTGAATGGAAGATATGTGATTGGAAGAGTTTCTGAAATCAGAGTTTTTAATTTATCTTATCCCCCCTAAGACCCTGAAAAGGATTTACTTACCATTTTATGCTCTTTATTTTTTTTATTCACATTAAGTAGTGAAGGAATCTGTAGGTGAGAGAGCCTGTTAAAGGCGAGGACAAATGAAAGTGTCAGCTTCAAATTTGTGCCTGCATGTTTCCTGATAAGAAGATGAACAAGCTAAATCTTTTCAGTGTTAATAGAAGTTAATGGTCTACTAGAGTCAACTGGTGCTTCTAATGATTACAATAATGACCAAGTGAATTAATATCAGAACATGCAGTGTAATCATCTTAGATCCTTTAGTAAATTGTGGACAAGTTTCCCTCTTGTGCTTATACAGTATATAGATATTAATCATCTCGGTTCTCGAATTGTTTGTAAACTAGTCAATCTCACAAATGATACAGAATCTAGCAGAATGCATTTGTTCAGTCAAATTCTTATAATGATTCAATTAACTGACAGATTTAAAGAGATTGTGTGTGTAGTACTTTGGTATTAATTTGCCTAGCCGAGGAAATGACAGTGATGGTTGGAGATCAGTGCACCACCCAAGTTTCTGTTCCAGAACATCTCTGACCCAGGTGTGGGTTCAATTCCTGGGTTTCCGTCTGCATGAAGTTTGTATGTTCTCCCTATGTTCATGTGGGTTTCCTCCCGCTGTCCAAAGACATACTGTACTGTACTGGTAGGTCAGTTGGATTCTGGGGAATTTGACTCTGGTGTGAGAGTGCTGGGTGTACCTGGATTGTGTACGTGGCTTTCCGGGATATGGGCTGGCTGTACCATAAATGAATGGGTGGCTGGAATAGCCAATAACCAAATGATCCAAATTCACTTGTATGGAAAATGTATCTACTGTACCTTACATATCTAAGCTCATTTGTTGAGCTTGATTTTAAACAATACAGTATGTAAAAGATGGAAAACTGTGGGGTGACATGCAGTACATTTTGGAAATATGATTTTATCTTTATATCCCTGCATTGGCATCCCATAACAGAAAATGTTTCCCGTATGAACATCAATATCCTAGGCCTTGATATTACGTCATTGACATACTGCAGACTATTAAATCTCAGTCCCTGTACTAACAATTCCTAGCAGAAACAGAAAATATGTGTACTTCCCAGCAGGTCTTTGGGTAACTGCTTGTTTAGTTACTCAATTTTCCCTCTCTAGTTTTTCCCAAGGCAGGATATTTACAGCAGCTGCTAACAATAAGATAACATTGCTCATAAGACTAAAATGAAGTAAGAAGACAGTTCTATGTGCAATTTACTGCAAGTATGACTGAAGGTGGTGGATACATTTCTGATTATATTTATTTATAAAAATAATTTATATAAGTATATCTGTATACTCCTGCCTAATATACTTCAGAATAGATTTTAAATCAAGTTACAATTTTAGAATACACTCAATGGTGGTCAGTATGAGGGCTCAAGATTATTATTATTTATTATTATTATTATTTTTAGCTCCAATACTTTAGGATTTTATTTCAATATGGGGTAAGTTTAATATTGTTATTGTGTTTTTTTTCTATTGCTTGACATTTTTCTTCTGTATGCAAAATTTGTGAAGAAGAGATTAATTGATACAATGGATAAGGTTGTCAGGGATTTGATATGAATCTGAAATTCTTTGCATACAAGATAAAAATAGTTTGTTGTGCAATTTTTATAGTTATGCATAATAATGACCTTGGGCAAAGCAAAATGTCCTACTTTTCAGAGAGTTCCAGAAGAACATTTTTAATAAAGAATATAAGGGTTACTAAATTTGTTCCATAAAACTTATGACATTATTTGTCATAAGTTTCCAAAATGGTATGAGATACAGTAGCTTTGTATTTGACTGCTAGGACAGGTCAGACGTTTCAAGCAAACATATCTTTTGATACATCATATTTGATTTTCTATATACATTCCAGAATAACCATGACTTTATATAAACTCTGTAAGGAGCTACAAGACAGGTTTGCATTTTCCCCTAAGTTGAGGTCAACGGGCATAGGCAAGTACATTTCCACTGATGCACTGATTCCTGGGTTTTACACACAGTAATACCCATAATCCTGTTTGTACTCATTATGTGGATATAAGAGCTTAGATAGGTCAAAGATCTTAGAGGGCTGCCACCTCATGTTACCAATCAGCTTTATTCAGTTGTGGACCACAATTCCCATAGACTACTATTATTCTATGATTATTAAAGAGACTGTACCCTGGACATTACCTTGTTTCCCCTGCTCAAGATAGCAGAGTCCTGGGCCTAGCTTTTCCTTTTCCTTAAATACAGTAGATCTTTTTCTTTTTTCCTTTTGGATTCCCTGCCTATAAGCTAGGTCATTTTTGGTTTGTTTGCTTCAAAGAGTTACTAAAAGCCCCTTCTTATGTTAAACAGGAATAATATTATTAAGTATATCTTCTATTGTACTGGTTTGTGTTGGCTTTTATAATCATAAAAACTGTTAATTAAACCTTTTCAAATGCCAGAGACATCTTTCATCAGTCAACTTTGGAGACGTTCTGTTCCTGTCTGCCCAAAATAAGTAAGCAAGCTTTGTCCTACTCGGTCCATTTTCAGCCACCTATCTGTGTGAGGCTGGGTTTTTAAAGATCAAAAATAAGCACTGCAATAGACTATCTTGAAAGTGACTTGTGTTGTGTTGTGATTAGAAAGGGCACGATACCAAAGAAAAGTGAAATAAACTGTTGGTTCATCAAACATATGTTTCTACTACTGTGCCTAAAAGTCAACACCATGGAATGCATGTTTCACATTTACAAAAGAAAAGTGTTTTAAAAACTAAACATTTCTTTCGACAAGTGTAGGTCAAAGAGAGCATGCCAATGAATAACCAGAAGTTTAACCACTAATAACGTTTTAGGAAATCAAGATCAAAGGTTCTTTGCCAAGACACCAATATGTCAAGATTTTAAACTGCATGACAGCTTGTTCTGACTATTATAATTCACCTGATACATTTATAAGTGCAGTATTATATATAAATCATAAGATGAATCTGAAATTAGATAAGCAGTGCCGTTGCCCCTGTCATCAAGGTGATACAGGGTCTTCATGAATCTTTGATGATGAAAAATAAAGCCATCCAGCTTGTTGCTTGATAGTACATATGTACACTATTGCTACCTGAAGATGGAGAGGAACAAAGAAATCTGAATATCTTAATATATTAACAGGATAAGCAGTCCTGTGTACAGTATGTCAGCCTTTAACAGTATGTGATAAAGAAATACTGTATTTTTTCATTCAGAATGGAATCATTGTGACTCTCAATTAAAACTTATTGTTGTCTGTAAATTTCATTATGGTAGGGTACACCCTGGATGAGACTCCAGTTCATATCAAGGCAGTGCAAAGATATATGCAGATTCACACCTGGGTCAACTTTTTCCCAGAAGCAAGTTAACCTACAGTACCAGTATGTCTTTCAACTGTAGGAGGAAACTGGAGCACCCAGAGTTAACCCATACAAATATCGGGAGAACATACAGTGTAAACTTCACACAAAACCCCAGGAACTTAAATCCTTACTTAAAATTTTAAATTTTATAAAATGAGAATACCATCTGCTTCCTATTAATATTCGGCAATGGCAGGAACAAAAAGTAAATCTTGTGGAAACAGAAAGTAGTGCAAAAATAGAGCCCTTGTACAGTACATGTGTAGCTATATGTCTATTATTTTGCTCATCATCAGTCTTAGCAATCTTGGCTGCTCTCAGATATGATGATTATATTATTATCAATCATCATCATGACAGGTAACCTCATTTTTTACAGCTTTTCTCATATTCGATATATTAATGTTACAGCATAAGTTGAAAATAAGTTTTCTACGTTGTACTTTAATGTTTATTTGATTAATTATTTATCCTACTACTCATCATCAGGAAGCCTATTTTTCTGGTGAGAGGTTATGGCAACGTGTAGCCTATCCTTGACACAGCAGGAGCAAGTTGGAACTGAGAGAACAAATCTGCTCTAGTCCTAGATAGGATACATCTCTGTTGCAGAACCACAGAGAAAGGGTCTATTTACACACAACTAACCTAATAGTGTTCTTTGGAACGTGGATGGAAAACTGAGCCCCCAGAAAAAGAAAAAAAAACAAGAGAACACATGAATATGAGAACATACAAACTCCACAGAGCAGCCCTCCTCCAATCCAGAATAGAACCCAGGATCCAAGAACTGTAATGTATCAGTAAGACCCACAAAACGACTATGCCACTCCCATTTAGTTTACTATTTACAATCCAATAATGGTTACAGACATAGGTGGTGTATATACAAATTCTGCTATAGAGACTCTTGCAAATGCCCAAGCATTTATTGCCTAAAATAAGCTGTATAATTGTAATGAAACTGTTAATCCTGTGGGTCTAAACTAAGTAATAACAATACCATGGTATTTACTGTTAAGGAAAACTGACACTTGTGCAAATGAAGTTACCCATTTTGCTGAGCAACATCATATTTGCTAATTAGAAAGTGAAGAAGAAACCTGTTTCTGTTAAGGGATATTCTTAAAAACATTTAGTTTGAGCAAAGGGCACTGCTAATTGTTGTAATCGTTTAACAGAAGAAACATCTTTGCAAATGTTATGGTCATACTTGTAATGCTAGACTTGCCCCTGAGGAGATTAGTACATAAGCAGTGAAATGTATTTATTTTCCATTACATAAATTCCTAAATACACACTTTGTATCAAAAGCATTTTACAAAATGTAATCTTCAATACATCGTATAAACCCAGGTTATAAATACTTATTATCAGAGACCAAAATAATTCTGAAAAAAAACTAAATCAGACTTCAGCATTTTTTTACCTTTGCTTTTTATTGATTATCATGCACGATGTAATGGTCACCTGTGTTACAGTGAAATAAATTGAATCTGAAACATTCAGAGTTCAACATCATCCAGGTTGATGCTGCACATTGGTGGTGGTGGTAAAATGCTTTGAGTGGAGTGTCCAGAAAAGTGTTATATACTGTAAGTGTAAGCAATTATTATTATTGTTATTATCATCATCAAAGATCTTGAAAAAAAAAAACAGAAGTGAGCAAGAACTGATGGCAGGTAGCTAAAGTTCTTGAAGGTCATCGTTCCCATGACAATTC